CATGTTTCACAATTGGCCAATAATAACGTGTTATTCAATTTCATGTGACGACCAATCACGAGAAAGTTATCCTATATCCCTAACCCTAATCCTAACTCAGGCCGGGCGTCATCTGACGCAAGGATGCATCTGAGGCATAACATAACCGATATCTATTATTGTTTTAACGTTAAAAGATCATCCATGTATACTCTTTTTTAGTAGAATCTACTTAACGTTAATTTAGAAGTTGGTCCAACTTATCGTTACACGTACATTTTTAATATAAAATCATGTGAAATTCAAAGTTAAGGTTAATGCTTGCAAACGCGCTGTAGTTTTATTAATTACTCAAGACCGGCAGATCCGTTCAATAATTAACAATGTCACGCCATCGAAACATCAGAAAACTCAAAGTTGAAGGTACCTGTTTTTGTGCAGAATTCAAGTTTTCGTTGCCTGATGCACATTATTCTTACTACATATATGTCCCCTAAGAAATTTTTGAGGAAGAATACGGATACGAAGATAATGAATATGGAGCCGGTAATTACACTTATTGTGAAGATCTCCGAAAATTTAATTAACATAAATATTTAATTTCCTAGAAAATTTTGAAATGACATTAAAGCAGAAAGGTATGTTATTTTAATGTCATTTAATTTCTTTGCCTTTCAATATTTATAAATGTTTGACTTTTACACGAATAAAGCACAAATGGAGGAAGGAAAAATAAAGGTCAAAAGCGTAATAGGACAGTTGGAAGGTATCACCGATAAAGATATCGAAGATACATTATGGCACTACTTTTTTGATACCGAACAAACGATCAATTGGTTATTAGGTATTATAACTTTTGATTTGACTAAGATAATGTATGTGGATTCATTATAAATTTAAATTAATATTTATTTTAACAGATACAGTTCATAAATCTCAAGCGAAAAAACAAAAACGATCTCAAAAGCAGGCTGCTTCAGATAACTCACAAGAAAACAAAGGTGATTTATCGGTTCTGGTATTTTTGTTTTTGTTCCATTTAAATTGCATGAACAAATGGATAGTGGCTCGATAGGTAAGGAGGGGAGTAAATATGCTGAAAATATTATGTACGATATCATACAGAAATAAACTATATTTTCTTCATAAATCCTAGGCCATGCATTAACGAGAATTTTTCTGCTCGATATTTTCCTTCAAAATTTGATAGATTTAAGCATTAACACGAACAATTCATTGTTGGAAGATGACCATCTTTGTCCTACGACTTCCAGAACAAAGACACCAATTCTTGAGTGTTCACGATCTGTAACTGATTTGTCGTCAAAAAACAATAGGACAATAAGTTGTATTACGTTGTGGGATATTTGGTCAGGACATAATGTCAATTGGAGACGCCTTTTGAACAACACAAAATCGCCTGTAGAGACGCCCATTGTCGCGTTAAAACAAAGCTGCTTTACTCGTGGCGGGTTATTGGGTGGCGCTGATTCAGAAACTCCGAATTCGCAACAGAGACTTTCTTCCATGAAATCTACATATGCATCTTTATCAGATTTGTCTTCGGCTATACCTTCAAATTCTGGACTGCAGAGACAGGGATTATCTTTATCATCTTTGGCACAAGAATCTTTGTCCCATTCAACCGGCCGAATTTCATTGACAAAACTCGTACCAAATAAAAGCAGGACTACCGACTCATCACAATCTGCAAACTTAAATATTGGAATATCTCAAAAATTAACTTCTAATTTAAATTTATCAAAAACGAAACAATTGACAACATTGCTAAACACTTCGGATTCTACGCATTCGTTGAAGCCGTTGTCATCCTATACGGGTTCTAATTCATCAGTTTCATCTAATTTGAATAATGTGGAACACAGTTCTTTGAAATCTAGTGTTGGGTTTCAATCCTCAACCTTTCAAAAGCACACAATACCACCTTCCCAAGTAGTAAATGGCACGAATACCTTGCGGATACAAGCACCATCGAACCCTCTTATTGCGCCTCCATCCATATTCGCAATTGCAATATTTGCAAAGCTGCAAGATGTGCAGTTACCTTCTAACGACCTTTTCACATTTGAACTTTCCTCAACAGGGTCAAGTAATCAAAAAAGTTTTGCATTTGATCAGCCAAGTCCGGATGATACTATTTTAAATGCTCAAAGTAAAAAGGCTTTTAGTGCTTCAAAAGGTGGGTATATATGATTTTGAAATTTAGAAAGCAATATTTATTAGGTTATTTATAAACGTTTCTTTTTTCGGACTAAAAAGGCAAACAAATAGCTACACAATCATCACCGTTACTACCGCCGGTAAATGCAACTAATAATGGAACAAAAAAGCATATAGATAAATCAATTAAGGAGAGCGATGATGATTTGATTGAAATTTTAGAAGGAGGAGATGAGCAATTGAAAATTGATATTAGTGCTCTCTCCCTGGCAGATTTATCAAAAACTCCGTTTAGCAAGATCGCAGAACCTATTAATGAACTTGCAAATCAAGGGCCAGTTGTTCCTCATATATCACTAAATGAACAAAAAACTCCAACAAAAACAAATGTAAAGCCTTCAAAACGTATTAATGTCCTTGAAGAATATAAAAAGCGCGTTGCTGACAAGCTTTCATTAAACTTAGTAGTGATCGGTATGTGTTAATACGAAATTAAAAGTTTAGATGTACTCGTTAATATTTAATATAAGATAGTTTAATAAAAACATTGACTATTTTTGAAATGAAAGGGCACGTGGATGCCGGAAAAAGCACACTTATGGGACATTTATTATATTTACTTGGCGAAGTTAACGAAAAAACCATGAAACAATATGAAAGAGATTCTTCAAAAATTGGAAAATCATCTTTTGCTTATGCATGGGTTCTCGACGAAACTGGCGAAGAACGAAACAGGTTTGTATGAGCTGTTTCTTGTTATATTACGCTTTCGAATTACCTAATTGTTATTGTTCTCTTCAATTTTCAGAGGCATTACAATGGACATTGCTATTAGGAGTTTCGAAACAAAAAGTCGCCGGTTTACTTTGTTAGACGCTCCTGGCCATAGGGATTTTATCCCGAACATGATTTCAGGAGCTTCACAAGTAAGCATTGAAAAAATATTTTATTTTCATTTATAATTTTTACTGATCTTCTTCTATTACAAGGCTGATGTTGCTATTCTGGTGGTTGATGCTACTGTCGGAGAGTTTGAAGCTGGTTTCGAAGCAAATGGGCAAACCAAAGAGCATGCATTATTAATTAGAAGTTTAGGTGTCCAACAGCTAATTGTTGCTGTAAATAAATTAGATACTGTAAGTATTTCATTATTATTTCATAGGATACGATAAGCGATAAACATTTATCTAATTGTAGAAAATTCACAGGTAGAATGGTCAAAGGCTCGATGCGATGAAATAATAGAAAAATTGAGTGCTTTTTTAAGCCAGGTTGGCTTTAAGAAAGATAAAGTGGCATATATACCATGTAGCGGAATGATAGGGGAAAACATCATGCGCAGATCGCCAGGTATTTTAGATTGGTATAACGGGGAGACTTTAATTGAGCAGATAGGTTTGTCGTAAATGATTATATGACTTGGGTTAGTTGGTTTTATGAATATTTTCAATGCTCTGATCCAAATGTATGCTTTTAGACAAGTTTGAACCACCCACACGTCTTTTGGAAAAACCATTTCGTCTTTCTGTGACTGATTTTTTCAAGGGAGGCATAGGGAATATTGGAGGTGTGACCGTTGCTGGCAGGATAGAGAGTGGTACAATACAAGCTGGTGAAGAAATTACAGTAATCCCTGGTGGTGAGCGTGGCGTAGTCAAAGGTAAGATTATTACTTAAGATTACCGATTTGCACAATTTTGACTGTGCTTACCCGATTCCCTTGGGTCTTTAAAGCTTTGGCGGTTAATGAGGAGTCATCTAAGTGGGCTGTGGCTGGAGATTCTGTGTTATTGACTTTGATAGATCTTGATATTCTGCAACTTAAGTATGTTAAGTGCATCAATCTGTTAATCAATATACTTTTTTTATTGTGTTAATAAAATTTTTTTGATTTTTAATAGGATTGGATCCATTTTATGCCCACCATCACAACCGGTTCCTATTACATCACATTTCCTTGCACGAATAGTTGTATTTGATGTCAAGATTCCAATTACACGAGGATTTCCCGTAAGTTATTAAAGTGTTTGGGAGTATTTTTAGCCTTTTTTAGGGTCATGATTAGGATTTCGTTTTAAGATTGTTAATAAAATAGTATAAGTTGGTTTTATATATTCAAATAGACACAAATTTCAACATGAACTTCCACATAAAAGTAATTTATTTATATAACTATTCTTTAAAGTAAATATACTATTTATTTTAATAGGTTATACTTCATCGGCAAAGCCTTAATGAGCCAGCTAACGTCATTAAACTTGTGAATATAATCGATAAGAATACAGGAGATGTAATCAAGAAAAATCCGAGGTTTGTTGTTCTTCGGAATATTATTTTCATACATGAAAATTAAAAGAAACTATAATAGTAATAATCAAACGAAATTAAAGGCATCTTCCTAAATCTACAACTGCTACTGTGGAAATAAAACTATCTAATCGACCAATTCCTTTAGAAGCGTTTAAAGATAACAAAGAACTTGGTAGAATTATGTTGAGAAAGAGTGGTGAGACGGTTGCAGCGGGTATTGTAACTGATGTAAGTTTACCATTAGTATCTAGATTTTGTTTACGGAATGAATTCTCATTTTCTTATGTTCTGTTTTAACTGTCTTAGATATTATCTTACGGTAGTTAAATTTTAAGTGATATCTATTTAACATTTATATTTTGTGAAAATAGTTGATATTGTACATTAAAACAATCGTATTGTAATAATGTTGATGAGGCACAGTGCAACATGTATTCGATGTGAGGAATTCGAATAAGAATTCGAATAATTAGCAATAAAATAGTATATGAAATTTTTGACGCATCAAAGCATTTATATTTATTTTTTTTTTTGTTAAAAAATTTTTACTATATACGTATAAATTTCATTTATTATAAAACGGACCTATTGTGGTTTGGCATCTATCATATGTTTCTATTGTTTTTTGGATTTTTTTTAAAAAAATTCTATTTGTACATGGATAATATCGATATCTCAAAATCCTGATTATAAACCAACTTTTGGGGTTTGCTAATTCATATAAAAATTTGTAATTAGTACGTATTTGTATATAAATACTATATATAAATAAATTTTTAAAAATTTTAATAAAATTTGTTTTAGTATTTAATATATACTGTATATATAAACATCAAAATTTTGTTTTATTAACTTTTAGCAAATTTTTAGAGTTGTAATTTTTTTTTATTAGTTTTAAAATCTTTATCTTGCCTTTGGGTAATTATTTTTAATAGTTAATTTTAATTTGTTATTTAGATTTATATTTTATTATTTTTTTATTTAATATTATTTTGTTAATTATAGTAAATTTGTTTATTATATTATACAGAGAGTGATTAAAAATTACTAAATGGTAGATATATATGGCTATAGCTTTTTTTTTTTATATATTAGTTTTCAAAATTTTACTCCTTGTTAGAATATTAAAGACAACTTCTTTTTCTTTTTTAATTTTGCAATTTTGTTTTTGTTATTTAAGATTGGAATTATTTAACAAATTACAGTATAAGAATTTTTATCTATAGCTATTATAAATTTAACTAAACAGAAAGCTTATCTAGCTTAGAGCTTAAATGCAATCTGTCTTAGTAGTCTTTGCTACTCTCTTGGTTTTTAACTTACTAAAGGCTTAAATTCTTTGGTTATTAGCAAGTATTACACACTATATTAAAATTGAATTTTGTTTTGCAATAATAAAATATAAATACAAATTTTTTTTTTTAACTTTTGCAATGTTGTAGAAAGGTGAATTTTTATTAGGTATTTTAGTGTACATTCTTGGTTAATGAGAGTATATTTAGCCACATATGCTTCGATAATTTTTATTTGCTTAGGTTGAGTACATCCTTTATCTTCTAATTGTCAAATAATTTTGGTTAATTGGTCTTTCTAAGTTCCATCAATAAAAGGGTTCAGGTGAGTGTTCGATTGAGGGGTTAAAGTTTGGGTTAGTTCATTTCGAACTTTTTAGTAAACTTCAGTGTCTGGTTCGGTTTCTGGTTCAGGAGGAGTGGTGGTTAAGGTTGAGTCAATTTTTGATTCTTCAGTTAAAAAAGTATTCAAAAAGGTATCTGTATCAATAGGTTTAGATGGAAGGTCCACTGTGGTATTCACTAGTATAGTGATATTACTAGTATCATTAGGGTCATTAGGGTTTCACAAAAAAATACTTTGGAAACAAATTTCTAAATTATTTTAGGCAGCTTGTCTTCAAATAGTAAGAAAGTATTGGAGGGTTTAGATAATTACAGGTTGCAAGGTGGTGTTGTATATTGTTAATTGTGTATAAATTAGGAAATTTCTGAATAAAAAGTCTATTTATAATTTTTAAAGTTGTATAATTGTCTGTTTTACAAAATTTGTCTTTGTCTCTTTCTATCTAATAAAATTTCTTTTAGAAATTAAGGATTTTTGATAACTATGATTGGTCCCCATATCTGTTTCTCTTAATATTTTGCTAAACAGTCACTATTATAATACTTTTGTAAAACTTTTCCTTCTAATATTTGCAGTTTATATGCATCATTATTCATCTTAACTTGAATAATGAATAATCCTTCTTTTTTGTCTTCAAATTTAGCTGATTTTGACTTCTTCAAAGCCTTTAGTTGTATCCAAACTTTTTCACCAATTTTGAATTTTTCTAGTCTGATTCTAGCATCAAAATATTCTTTCTGTTTCTGTTGCGACTTTTTGGTATTAACTCGAGTTTCTTTTTATATTGCGACTATTTTTTTCATTAGTTTGTAAGCATGTTGTAATACATTATCCTGGAGGTTGATTTCCATATTAGAGTCTAGTATTGGTTTGGTAGGGATAATAGTTTCAATAGATAGAGTAGCTTGTCTACCATACACTAGTTGAAAGGATATATAACTAGTGGTAGCATGTCTCTTGGTTTGATATGTTAAGAGAACAGCAAGTATATATATATCCTATTTATCAGTTTCTTTAACCTTCGCGAGTGATTCACAAAATGTTTTGTTAAAATATTCAACTATTCCATTAGTCTGTGAGTGATATGGTAAAAAAAACTTGTGTTTGATAAGAAACTTTTCACATAATATTTGGATAGTTTCACTAATGAAGTTTCTTCCTTGATCTGATAAAATTATCTTGGGAGTTTTATATCTACAGATAATTTCTTCGAAGATAAACTTTGCTAAAGTTTTTGCTTTGGCATCTGGTACAACACAGGCTTCTGGCCATCAGGTTAAATAGTCTGTTACTATAATAATATAACAATTGGTCTGTTCAGTTATAGGTAGAGGTCTGACCAAATTAATACCAATTCATTCAAAGGCTCATCTGACTTGTATTGGGGTGTAATGATTCTTTTCTTCTGTCTTTTTGTCTTTTCTGACATTCCTCACATGTCTGTATATATTCTTTAATATCTTGATACATTTGGTCCCAATAGTATTGTTTGGCTATTTTATAATATATTGCATCTGTTTCTAAATGTCCAGCAGTAGGATGTTTATGCATCATATAGAGAACTGGTTTTACTTCTGTCTATTTGATAACTCGTAAAGGTTTGTCTGGGTCCTTTCTATTCTTCTTATAAAGCAAGTGGTGTCTAATTTTGAAATATCGAGCTTGATTAATTAATTGTTTCTTCTGTTTCTCAGTAAGGTCTTCTGGAATAGTGTCTGTATCTAAATATTGGTATAACTTATGATACTAGTCTAAATTCATGATAACTTAGGTTCTTTAGTTAGAGTCTGAAGTCAAGAAAGAGCATCAACATTGGAATGAATTCATCCAGATTTATGAATAATTTCAAAGTTATAAGGTTGTAACTTGAGTATCCAGCATCCTAATCTTCCTTTAGGTTCAGCAATACGTAATCATTTAAGAGCATAGTGGTCAGTAATTAAAATAAACTTGGTAGCTCCAAGATATTTATGAAAATATTTAATAGCCTATACTATAGCAGCACATTCTAGTTCAGTGGCACCATAGTTCATTTCTTCTTTAGCATAAGCTACAGGATGTTTCTTGTTATAACTATCAAGTTGGCTAAGAGTAGTACCAAATCTATAATAAGATGCATCGGTTGCTAGTATAAATATTTTACAGAAATCTGAGTATCGAAGTATAGGAGCACTAGTAAGTCTTTGTTTAAACTCAATAAAAGCTTCGTGTTAAGCTTCAGTCTACTTATAGGGTTCATCTTTTTGTAGTAGCTGATTCAAAGGTTTTGCAATCGCAGAGAAGTTGCAAATAAATTGTCTATAGTATCCTACTAATTCTAAAAAAGATTGTAACTGAGTTACATTCTTAGGAGATAAAATTTGTTGAACAGCTTCGATTTTTTCTGGGTCTGGGGCAATTCTTTTAGGAGATATGATGTGTCCTAGAAATGGTAGTTTTTGTATCCAAAAATTACATTTCTCTATGTTTAATCGTAATCCAGCATGTCTAATTCTAGTAAAAACTTCATAGAGGTATTACAAATATTCATCAAAAGTCTTGGAGAATACAATAGTATCATCTAGATATACTACTACGAATCTCTATACAATCTTGTTATAAACTCGGTCTATTAATTGTTGAAAAGTTACAGAGGCATTACAAAGTCTAAAGAGCATGATGTTGAATTCATAAATTCCATAGCAAGTAACAAATGCAGTCTTTTTCGGTCTCTTGGATGTATAACTACTTGCCAATATCCACTAGCGAGATCTAGTGTAGAAAACCAACATGATCCAGCGCAAGTGTTTAACATTTTATCAATTTGAGGCAATAGGTAAGCATCTTTCTTAGTAATGCTATTTAGCTTTCTGTAGTCTATACAGAAATATAATTTGCTATTCTTCTTTTGTACTAATACAATAGGTAAGGTCTATAGGCTATTTGATGGTTGCATTAGCTTATTGTTTAGTATTCATTAGATTTCTTCTTTAACAAATGCTTGTTCACTAGAAAGTATTAAATAAGATCGTGAATTAATAGAAGGTACATCTTCAGTATAAATTCGATGAGTAACTAGATTAGTTCATTCTAGTTTATTAATATCTGATGCAAATAAGTCTGCAAATTCTTCTAAGAGTTATCTGAATTTTCTTCCTTTATCTTCTGAGAAAGGTCTAATATTTATTAATGTTTCCTTTAAAGTCGTATACTCTTCATAAGGGATAAGAGTATCAATAGCATATACATATTTTGGAGTTAGGATAGAGTCATTAATGTCTGTGTCCTTAGGTAGTTTTTTATCTTACCTGGGATTATCTAAAAATTTTGCAACTCTGTAAAAGCAGCAAATTGAGCAGCATACTGGTTAGCATACTGATTATCTTCTCTCTATAATTGTATGAGCTGTTGATTAGAATTCTCAAGGGTTTCAACCTTTTGTCGCAGCTGTGCAATAAGCTAACTTTGGTAAGCTCCTTGTGGTTGATCTTTAGTATAGGTGAGTATATATAATTATTATACAATTATAATATATATAACTTAATTATTTTGAACTAATTTAAGTAATTTTATAAATTATTAGAGTTAGAGTTAAGGTTAGAATTTAAATTGGCTCAAATTAGTTAGATTTTATATATTACAATTTTGTAATAATTTATATATGCCCACCTATACTAAAG